GCAGGTGGGAGCGCTGCGGGCTGGGAATGTGCGCATCCCCAGCTTTCCGCAAGAGCGGCCGGCGGCGGGCGCCGTGTCTGAGCATGAACGCAGTGCCCTCTCTTGACGGGTTTCAGTTTACAAAGAGTATCAAGGTTCAGCTGGAGCGGGGCGCTACCAGAGCTCTTCCAACTGCTCAGAGCTTGGGAGATTGGCCGTACTACGGTTCATTCTACTTCTTCTATTTGCCCGTCAAATCTCCTCCTTGAATACAAGCCATAATTTTACCCCTCTCTCCATTTTTCTCAATTTCAAAGACCATACTCACACTCCCGTTACAGAAGAAAGCATCCTTCTGTTTGTCAAACGTCAGGATTTTAGTTTCACTGGCAATCAAAATATTTGCTGAAAACAGAACCTGCTTATTTCAGAATTAAAATATGTTAAAATAATTTGTTAAATAGATTACATTACAAGCTTGATAAATGAAAATTAGATTTGACAGTGACTTAAGGAAAATAGCAACTTTCAATAATAATAGCAGAATGCTTAAAAATATAATTTTAATGGATATGCATCCACAATTTCATGGAATAAAGGAAACAAACAGAAAAAAACAATGGTCACAAAGAATAATCTGACCTCCTCACTGGCCAGTTTTAAATGTGAGAAGAAATTCCAATGCCATGAAAATGATTTCTCCCTTGTGTTACCTTGCCCTAGGCAAAATGAGAACACATTTATTTTCCAGATGAGGTATATAAGAAGCAGAATGTTTAATCGACTTGCTAAAGGTTACACAAGTTTATAGGGACAGATAAGAAAAATCTACTGTGTGGATGTCCAAAGTGCCTAACACATGAAGTGTTTCAAATCTCTGTATGCAGATCTACTGAAATGTAGGATCAATAATATTAAATTACCTAGACAATGCTTTAATGTCCACAAGTGAGAAACCATTGACTAAAAATAAAGCAGTGAAAGCATTATTAGACTCTTTCCCCCCCCCCCCCCCCAAGAAAGACTAATAAGTGCACAGAAAATTACAGCGTTAGTTGAGAAAAACATTGTACAAATTGTGTCCACAGAGGGCAGTGATAAGCCTTCAGGTTGATAATTTGTTAACCATGCTCCTTTGTGAAGCAAGACAACATGGCAAGGAATTCCTCCTCCCCTCCAATTCCCATTTTCCCCATTGTCCCACAGAAGGTGGAACAGTTTGAAAAATGCCAAAGCTATTGCATCTTTAATGTCTCTTCAGCCTGGGTGGAAAACAAACTCAGCAGCAAGGATGCAGTGACAGCACTCGGCTGCCATTGAACAGTGGCCCCGGAGCAGGGTTTTTGCCACTTGTGGTGTGCTGCAGTTGGTGGCCCAGGAAGTTCAGACACCCTTGGACATTACTCTGCTGATCTCTGGTCTTACCCTGTGCTGCAGCCCACTGTGCTGAGCACCCTTCCAGATAGGTTCAGCATTCATCCTCATGTATAATTCACTATGATCTTCTACCAGTATTCATAATGGAAGGTATGTGATGGCTGCATTGTCTATGAAATCAGTATATGACAGAGTGCCAGGGACACATCATTCTCTTCTTCAATCTAACAGCTTGCTGAGCTTTTCCATCCTATTCCCTTTTCATTTTCAAAACTGGCTTGTCCTTTGCCTGCACATGAGAAGAGAGATTACTATTACCATTAGTTCATCCACTCATTGCCAGTAATAAAATACACAGAAAATTCCCTTACTGGTTAGTATTGCTAAATAAATGACACATCACATTATTTCCAAAATCTAGTCACTTAGATAGAATAGGTCAAGAAACTGAATACATTAAATGAATGCATTGTCCTTATTATTGCTATTACATCTCATCTAAGGTATGGATATTGTTGAATAAGAAAGTAAAATCTTATTCTTTTCTTCACACCAGTTCCAGAGACCCAATATTTCCCTACATAAGGGAAAGGGAAACTGTTTCTGTTTCCAGTAGCCAGAGTGCATGACATGGCCTCAGATCTCCAGCACAGGTTGGTAGGAATAACAGGTTTTGGAAATAAGAGCCAACGACTTCTCGTCTTTGCAGAAGCTATGATGTATCACTAGGCTTTCCATTTCTATTTTTCATTTCATGAATGAAATGATGCCCCTCCTAATTTATCTCACCCTCTAGCTAGTTGTTGTCTGGTGAATTTTACAAGTCTTAAATTCATGCCTGAAAGGGATAACACTGCTCTTCTCATTCAGTTAAAACAAAGACATACTTAGAAAATGTACACATTTAAACCCACTTAATGTTTCAAATATCATTATTTTCAGTAGCAACTGCTTCTTAGTTAAATGGTTTTTCAGGCATCAGACTATTATATGACAGATGATTTTGTCACTATGCAAAATGTGAAACCTGTAATCAACTTGTTATGGCATTTCACAAAAGTATGTGACAGTAAAATAAGTAAACTGTCATTTGGGCAATCAAGTCTTGAAATCCTGCAGGAGGTAAAAAAAAATACCTGACATTCAATCTTCATGGTAGAGATGATGTTCAAAAAAATGGCTTAATACGGTTACAGTCTTAGAGTTTGAATAGAATTTTTATTGCAGTGTGCTTAAGCCTGCAATGATTTTGTATTATGTTTTAATCACTTCTTTTTTCCCCCCTAATTGATTCTTTCCTTGGAAAGTCAACATGCACGTCACACAGCAAGGTCTGCTCTTTTAACAAAGTGTTGGTTAAATTGAAACAATATTTTCCCTTTACTGTTGATGACAACATTATCAATTACAAAGCATTTTCAGACTGGTTTGATAGGAGAATGGATGCAGTAGGTAGGAGCCCATACTGATTTACTGGCACCTGGGACAGCCTGGAAGATGGTGCTGGCAGCAGCAAGCTTCTGCATGGCTGGAATGCTTGGGATGATGTGCTGCTGAATACACACTGTCCTGGCTAAACGGATTTCACATGAAAGTTTTATTAAAGGAAAGGGATACAGAAGCTATGGCTCATAAGCCACTTCCTGCCAGTCTGTTTGGCCTGTGGCTTGTTCTCCTGAATCCTTTTTCTCCTCTGTGGCTGCTGGTTGAATGCAGCAGGCTGGTAGCTGTAGCTCTCCTTGGTCTTCCCTTTTTCCCAGGTTCTCCTCCAGGCTCAGGGAAGGAGCAGGCTAGGATTGGGCTTAAAACCAGTTAGTAAGTCCTGTCAAATCACAGGGAAGACACTCCAGGGGACACAGGTTTCACCATTATGCTGCCAAATGCGTGTTCCCCTCTCTTCTCCACGGAGCAGACATCCTGGGTGTGCAGGCACTAGCAATGAGCTCCTATAACTGGAAGTGTAAAATGAATCTGTAGCCTCCTGTTTCCAGTCATTAGTGGCAGTCACAGATTTTGGAATTGACCTCCTCCCAGAAATGAGTTATAGAAACAGGAATAAAACTACACTTGATTGAGAAGGCTGAAGGGAAACAGGGAAACCTATTTCTATCTGGCTTTTTTTTTTTTTTTTGTTGGTTTTTGGGTTTTTTTTGCCTCTTTATGATTACAAATTAAATGGTGAAAACACTGTAACCTACAAGTTAATATTTTGCATGTAATAACCTTCAGTGAAGAGCACTGCACAGCCTGCCTTCGAAGAAAATTGGTTTTGTTTTGACAAAGTTATGAACGTTTGGAAATTACTCACTGAGCACACATAAGAGGCCTTTTGTTAAGTCTAAGTAGGAACAAAAAAAAAAAACAAACAAAAAAACAGTATTGCTGATTTTGCTGCATGCTGAAGCTGCAGGGCCCCAAGAACAAGCTTAGACTGGACTCAAAAAGGCCTTGACCTAAGCATTTTACCCAATGAGAGCTCAATACTGTGGGTCACTTCGAGTCCTGAGTCCTCTTGATAAAAGAGATTAAACTGATAAAAGTGATATGGATAAAAGGAAGTTTGTGTGGACAGATAAGCCACAGACAAGGGGGAAATGGATAACAGCACAGAAATGGGCACATATACTTTAAAGGTACTTAGGAGAAGGCAAACAAATTGAGATTCTTACTACAATGCAAAGGTATAGGAGAAGGTGTTGAGAAGACAAAAGATCAGGGAGCTTTGGGAAGCTGTTAGAGTCCATGGAGATTGTAATTTTGGGCTTTTCCACTACTGCCCACGTTTTCCTTATGAAACCTCCCACTGGAATGAATGACCAGATCAGTTATGGCCACAGAGAGAGAACTGTTTTTTTTCCTCACAAGAGTCCAAATGAGTACAAACTGCCCTCTCTGTTAGCTTCCCAGTTCCCAATCTTAGCTAATGAGACACACTGTTCTTGCCACTGCCATGTGCTATAGGACGACCCTGTTTGAGCAGGGAAGTTGGACCAGATGATCCACTGTAGTCCCTTCCAACTCTACCCATTCTGTGATCCTTTAAGTGTAAGCATGATATGCTGAAGAAGTCAAGAAAGACTGAGTTCAGAGTCTGGCACTTGCTGGACATCCCTGTTTTCTAAGCCTCAGTTGTTCCACAGCTTTATTTGTTCTCAGCTATGGCTATCCCTAGTAGTTGCCTCCTTAGATCCTGAAGTGAATATGATCTCTGTGTTTGGTATTCCTCGTGCCCAGAGATTTGACTGGTCCATACTGTGTCTGACAGCATAGAGGTTGATAATCAGAATAATGTATTTACGAAGCAGAGGACAAACACTGTCACTTTTGTGTGTGCTTTGTTTCCCTGTGGAGTGCTCATTACTTTATAAGAATATTAGGAGTCATAACTGCTCATTTGACAGTTTGCCAACTATTTTCACAAACTTGCTTATAAAGTGGGAGCAAGCTACATGGGTTCTAAGCTCCCAGAGAGCTTCCAGTTTTACAGGGTATTTGTGTGGATATTACAAATATCCACCTGTGCTCAGGAAACCCAGTGACATTCCTCCAGTTCATAATTGTTGACATCCTGGATAAAACTAGTTGTGTTTAATGGGCAGCTCAGTAAGAGTGACCTGGTCCAAATGCAGTGTCAAGGTGGTTGGTGATGACACAGCAATTAACAGCCTTTGGAGGCTGATTGACACACCAGATCTTGACACCTAATTTCCCACCAGCTTGATGCATTCTGAATGCTTTTAACAGCAGAGGAAGGCTGGATCAAGTCACTAAGTGCAAACGCTCCTCATCATAATGGTGGGCAGAACCAGTTCCCTGACACCAATTAATTTTTTTTTTTTCCTAAAGAGAACCAGTCTTGTCTTTCTTTTCCTGCCTTCACCCTCTAGCTCCTGTCCTCTGTCTCGGACCTCTCCCAGTGTCCCAGGTCAGACTCCTTTGCTCTGCCTCCGCCTGTGAGCTCTGCTCGGGATGGCAGTGGCACCGGTGCGGCGGGCAGGTGTGGGCCGGGGTGAGCGCGGCGGTCCCGGGGAGCTCTCCCCGGTGCCGGCTGCGGCGGAGGAAGCGCGGCTGCGGCGGCTCCGCGGCACCGCCGCCCGCGGCCCGCCAGGCGGCAGCCGCGCGCGCCACCGGGGGGCTGCGGCCGCGCCGGCTCCGCTCCGCGCCCGCGGCCGGGCCCCGCTGCGCTGCGCTGCCGTGCCCGCGGCCGGGCCGTGCCCCGCCGCCGCGCCCTGCCGGAGGGGCTGTGCCTGTGCGCCGGCGGGGCTGCGGCGGGCGCCGTGCGGTGCGGGTGAGCTCCAGGCGGGGTGGGTGCGGAGAGCTGTCCCGCCGAGACAAAGGCGCCCAGGAAGGTGCAGCCGCGCTCGCCGCGCCCGCGCAGACAAAGCGGAGGCGCCCCCCGTCGCTGCGCTGCCTCTCCGCGCCCTCCCGCGAGAGGGGTTCGCACAGCTGGGGCTGCCTGAGCCGTACCGGCGGAGGAGGATGAGGAGGAGGAAGGCGGGCGGGGGAACAGCTATGCCGTGGGCAGGAGGGAAGCCGCTCTGCGAGCGTGAACCGAAGCTTAGCGCCGCCGCCTGCCTCGCCTCCCCGTCCGTCCGTCCCTCCCTCCCTTCTCCCCTCCTCCCCCCGCCTCCCCCCGCCGCAGACGGCTGCGAGCCCGGATGGTTTGCGAGCGGAGTTGAGGGGGCAAACTTTGAAGCCCAGATGCCTCTGGGGCTGCGCGGCACAGCGCGGCTGCTCCTGCAGGCACCTGCCGCCGCCCTCCCCCCGGCGCTGCCGCCCTCCGCGGGGGCGGCCGGCCCCGCTGCCCGCGACCGCCGAGGCGGCGGGCGCTGCGGCCGCGGCTGAGGGCGGCGGGCGCGCCCCCATGCGGGTCCCGGGCTGGGGAGCGCCGGCGGCAGGCGGGAGCCGGGCGGCGGCCGGGCGGTGCTCTCCCGCCGCCTGAGTGGGCGCGGCGCGGGACGGCGGCGCGGGGTGCCGGGAGCCATGGGCTATTGCAGCGGCCGGTGCACGCTGGTGGCCGTGTGCGGCGCGCAGCTGGTGAGTGGCGGCGGGGGCGGCCCGCGGAGGAGGGGGAAGGAAGGCGTGAGGGAAGGAGGGGGCGGCGGGGCGGCTCCCCCGCTGCCCGGAGTGGGGGCTCGGGGAGGGGCAGGGTGGGAAGGCAGCGCCCGCGCTTTGGGCGAGGAGGGGCCGGGGGGGCCGGGATGGGGATGCGAGCGAGGCGGCAGGGTGGGAAATAGGGGCTGTGTTACAGGTAGTTTGGCGGGGACTCTGCCGGGGAGGCTGCGGTGGGCGCGCGACGGAGTTAATAAACTCGGGCAGTTCTCCCAAGCGTTGAGTCAAGTTGGTACCTGGTTGCCTTTGACTGGCCCTGTGTAAAGCAGAGACGCGTGTCAGGGGTGATGCGCAGCTTGCAAACAGTTTGCAATACAGGTGTGTGTCTGTGGGAAGTTGTCACGCCTGAGCTGTTCTGCAGATGTGGTTTTTTTTTTTTTTTTTTGTTTTCTTTCAGACTTGTTGTCCAGCGTATTTTAACAGTGTATCATTATGTTGCTACAGGACTCAGACATATATTTATATTTACCTTTGAAAGAGACATGTGGCAGCACTTGTAAGCTCAGCTACCAGCGAAACTAGATTGAGTTTAAAAAGTAGGCACTGAGATACAATAACAAAGAAGCTGCCTAGAAATAGATCTGTTTAGCAAGATGGTTAGGCTGTGCAATTGTATTGTGGCACTTTGATAGTGACTGGGGTTAAAGTTAAAGAATTAATATCCCTTTCTGTAATGTATAGAATGGGTTATTTCATTGTTGTGGAATCAGATACATGATGTAAGAATTCCTGTGGATTTGGATGCAATGACATACAGATAAAGACTTATCAATGGAATATGCCCCATTTCTTATTCTCATTATATTGAATGTTCATGTGCTGGCAGAACAGGTGCTGGAAGCACCTTTGTTAAGCAGTTAACCTTATGGCAAAAATGAAATATTTCATGTTACTTCATCCCTCTAGCTCTTAGTGAATAGTTTTGCTGAGAAAGTGTAAGTCAGTGTCAATAGCAACCAGCATTGTTGCCAATTTCTTTCCTCGAGGCAGGTACTAAGAGAACTACAAAAGAAGAAAAATAATAGATTTCAGGAACCAAATCAGTAAGACACTACGTAAGAAAGAAACATGTGTTAGCAGGCAGAAATTCGAAATGTCTGTGATCTTTTCATCAGTTGTCATCAATCCTTAATAATTTTGTATTCTGGAAAACATTTTATTTGTATATGCTGTTCCCCACCTAAGTTATTTAATTCTTTGTAACTGGATGTATCTTATCAGACATGATTTATTAATGCATATTGTCTAAAAAGGAATCTTGAATTGTAGTAATAGAGTGAATCTTGAGTGGAATGATAGGAATGTATCCTTTTCCAGCAATTTGGAAACATAAAATGAATGACTGAAGTTCTTCAGATCCATTTAAGTTTCAGAGGCGTACTTTTTTTTTTTTTTCCTCCAAAGGGGACAAAAATGGTTTAAATTGTGCCTCTTACAGAGCATTTTTTTTTAATCCATTTAACAGCCAAGAGGTCATGATGACTGTAGAATGTGCTAGGATGTTAGAATGTGTTTTTTTTTTTTTGAAAGTCTGTGAAGGAAAGCATATTTGCTAACTCATGGTGACAAAAAAACCATGCAGAACTCATGAAAACATCAATGGAAATGCCCTGTAGGAATGTATTAGCAGGTGGATGAGCAGGTAAGCTGATGCAGAACTGTAGCATTACTTTCTACATGAAGCTTCCTACAAATGATTGCAAACTAGAGGGTCAAATAAACATATTTTTAAAAAATAAATACTGTTTTTTGGAGTAGCTTAAGGAAATTTTTAGAGAATCATAACCCGAAAGACAACTTGAAAATTTTTATTGAGCAAGAAAAGGATGTGCTAACAGTAATGAAAACTTCTGAATCACACTTGGCCTGTGTCATGGCATTTAGATTCCTTAAAAGCAGGAGTGATCATTTAAATGAGAAAAATGAGACAGAATGGAAAAAACCACATTTTATTAAAATCACGTGTCATATTCCTTCATGTGCCACATACCATCAGATGGGAATAGGTTATGAGTTTTAAGTCAAGGAGATTTAATTCTCCTCAGTAGGCCCATGGGTGATTAGTTGGTTGTCAGTACTTTTTTAGGTAAAGACTACTTAAAGGAGCAAATGCTGTCAAGATTCATTCTGGAATTATTAGCCACGTTAATGAAGTTGGAAGTCAAAAATAAAGGATCTGGTAGTTATCTGGATTGAGGAGATGGGTGTGGGAAGCATTTCCACACTGATAACCATAGTTTAAAAAAAGTGTAAAACTTTAAGTGTGAAGACTATGTATTACTGGTACCTGGGATGCAGTTTTAAAATAGTCATATATGGGTAGAAAGTATACTTTTGTTTTGGGGAAAAAAGTTGGTAAGAAGAAAGGTTTCTTTCTTTTTTTTTTTTTTTTTTAAATGTAAATATGTTCTTCCATCTCTACAAAGCTGCATTGTGATGATCTAATTGGTCTTTGTAGGCACTGCACAATAAACAGTATTGTGAAATACTGCAGTTCATTAGAGAAGTTGTTGCATATTGTACATACATAAATGATGTAGATGTCACAAATGGGTAAAAAAAGGGGTTATTTCAAATACTGGTGCATGAGTAGAGCTGCAATAACTTGAGAGACTCTGCACAAGCATAATTATTTTCATAAATGCATTTCAAGTGCTCACAGTTAAGGCAACATACTGTATAGCATCAGATTATCAGAAACCTCAAGCAATGCTTCTGCTCTCAAGGGCATACTGATCATTGCTTTCTGCTTATTAACATACATATACCTGACTGTGCTCTCATTTGTACTAGGGAAACAACCTTTGACAGCTCATTTCCCTCTGCATTTGTAGCCAATGAGAAAAATTAACAGCAAGTAAAAGCTAATTTTGCTCATGTTAGGAGCAAGGCATTGCCTTCTGTATACAAAATTAGTTAAGTATCTCTCTCTCTATCCATATATATATATATATGTATAAAGATACTACTTTTGCTCTCTTTTGCTTACTTCCCTTCTGAAGAGAACCCTCAGCACAAGGGCTCTGGTGGTTTTTGTTGTATGATAACTATACTGGTTGCAATAAAAGACTTCTCTGCTATTTCATTTTGTCCTTTAAACCTCTTTATTTTTGGGTGTTTTCTTTTCTCTTAATAGCTTGCATCAGTAGTGCTAATGTCTTGTTGCCTAGTCTTTTTAATAGCAAGAGCAGCAAAGGTGAAACTGCCAAGATTATTACTTTCATGAGTCCCACAGAAACCAGTTTGAAACTTTCTTCTTTCCCATTGTTGCTGCTTCGGAAAACTTGTAGCATGACAAAACAAGAAAAAGTACAGCATGTTTTCAGCTTTCTCCTCCCTAAGTGCAGTGATGAGGAAGGACAGTATTTCATAAGGAAACTTTAAGTCCCTAGTAATCATTGCCTTATTGTTTCTCACCATCAGACAAAGATTACTATACTCCCAAGTCAAATTAGATAACAGGTAATTCAACTTTTACACTCCTTTCTCTCAGTTTCCATCTGAATTTGCTGAACTCATTTATAGAAATCTTTCTGTAAAATTTGCCCGTTCTGCCTGTTGTTTTTCTTTTCTTCCACTTTTTTTTTAAAGTAAACTATATTGCAGTTCAGATGTTCCAACTAAGTATTAAAAACCATACAAAATTTGTAAACAAGCCATATATATTTGTAAAGGGGCAGTTAGTGGTTGTGAGGTACTTGACCTGATGCTCTTAAAGTATGTATTATAATGTACATACATTATCTGAATTTCTGAAAACTGGTATCTTTCACAAGCACCAGTTAAGCCTCTCCTTGTAAAGTCTCTCCAGTAAAGTCTCTCCTTCCTTCACAGTTGGGGCTATGAGCACACTGAGACACAAGTTCATGGTGACCCTTTCTGAACTCATCCTCTTGCAGGTCTGGCTGAAGCCACTGTCCAAGTCTGTTGTGCTGGCCGTCAGAACAAAAAAAAAAAACAACAGATTTGGTTGGTTTGCTAAGAGGCCAGCTATTTTGAGCTAATGAAAAAAATGTTCAAAATGCAAATGGTTTGTATTGTCCATGTTCTGTGCTTTTCCACAAATAATGCCGATTAAGATAAAATTAAAATACTTTGTTTCAAAAACTGTTTCAGCTGAGGTAATTTCTATACTTAACTGTGATACTGATGTCCATAAATACATACTTAATTGCCTGTTGGACATGAAAATACATATTTGAACTGCAGGTAGAGTGGTGGAGCCTAGGAAATTAATTAGTACAAACTAGTATGGAAAGAAGTATCTACCATATTTCTTCCATGACATGAGGTGTCACAAGAGATGTCCATAATCAATATTGCACACTTAATATAAGACTGAAGAGTTCCTTGTACTCTTCCAATTCTCCCTTGCATTGTTAAAAATTGGCACATGTAACTAAAGAGAACAGAGCATGATACTTGAGGAAAAAGTCTGCCTTAGTGATAGGTCTCTTAAAGTTTAGGTTTGCCTTTTAAAAATATGAATAACAAACATTCTTATGCTCATTCAACCACTTCAGGAATGGTGGTCATGACAGGCTCTAGTCTATAGCACAAATCTAGCTACAAGTTTTAATACAGTTTAATATAATGAATATCCCTACTTGGAGAAAACCTCATGTTTAACAGTTTTGAGGTTTAATTCTCAGGACTTTCAGAGAGTGAAGTTTGATGGATTAGAGCTCAGTTCCCACTGAGAGTAAACCAAAGGCAATCACAGTAGATATTCTTTAGAATTAGCTATCCTGAAGTATTATGCAATAAAATACATATTTTTGTTAATATAGGGTCTTACTCCATGCATAGTGTCAAGGTACTTAGCCATCCTACACCAGACTACATAACTCGTGAATGTAGAATGTCTTTTTTTTTTTTTTTTCCTTTTTGTTAAAGGGAAGCAGTAGTGAAATTTTGGGACTTTG